ACAAACGCGGCCTGCGCTTTGCTAATGATGCTTCCTAATACCTTACCAAGTCTAGCTGTGAGGATCTTTGAGATGATTTTGTAGATTGTTGAGCATCCTGCAATTGGCCTATAATCTTTCAGATTTTTGGCGTCCGGCTTTTTTGGGATCAGAGTAACAATTGTTTCATTGAAAGCTTTAAAAATCATATTTTGCTCAAAAAATTCTGTAACAGCTTCAATGACATCTTTCTCAACAATTTCCCAACTGTCCTTGAAAAATTTCCCACCGTATCCATCTATGCCTGGGCTCTTGAGATCACCAATCCCTTTTAACGCAACATTAATTTCAGTAGCAGTAACCAGAGAAATTAATTCAACTCTCTGTTCCATGGACAGTTGAGGTCCCTCCCTCATAACATCAATGTCTATCATATTAATTCTAGGTTCTCTAGTTCCCATTAGTTTCCCGTAAAATTCACATACCTCTTTTTCTATGTCTCCCTGGGTGTGAATACAAGTGCCATCTTCTTTAAAGAGTTGACTGATATTAGTAGCTGCAGATCTAGATTTGAGGTAGGCATAAAAAAAGGATGAATTCGTGTCGGCTGTACGAAGCCAATTAATCTTTGACCTCTGTCTCAACATTTGTTCCTGTAGTTCATGAAGGTGTGTTAGTTCATCAGTATAAATCTTCACTTTCAAAATGGTCTCAGTGTTCATTCTGTCCACAGTGAGGCTTTCCTGTGCTTGTATTAAATCTTGCCTTGTTTGGCTTACGGTCTGTTGGAGATTTGACAGTTGTTTGCTCAATCTGCTAAGGGGGCCTTGTAATCTCATCAGTTTATGCCACAATCTTGCCATAGGTCTACCTTTAATTTCTTTGTTCCAACTCTGCTTGACAGTATCATGGTAGCCTTCAATCTTCACTACACTATTAGTAAATTTAAAATTTTTTTGCACTGCTCTATTTACCACATCAGCATTTAATTTTAACAGGCAATGATCAGAGATACTAGGAGGTAGAATTTCCAACTTCAAATCAATATTTTCCTGCAGCCACGCTATGTTACCAAGAACATGGTCAATTTTTGAATATATGGTGCCTATAAAGTGTTTATTGGTCCAAGTATAATAGTCTCCCATACTTTCCTTCTCATACAATCCGGCATGATCCATCAAACTTCTGAGATCTTCAAATTCTCTCTCAGTCACCAGATTCCCGCCTATTCTGTCCATGGCTTTGGTTACATTGTTGAAATCTCCCATGAGGAACCAAGGACCCTGTTGGCTGTCGTGAATATGCTTCAAATCTTCCCACAGATGCCTTCTTTGTTCAAGGTGGTTCAGTGCATAGATTGCTGTCATCCAAGTTTGGAACACTCCATTTGCATCATGGATACCACAGTGTATCATCTGTGATGTACGTTTTATAACTCTAACATCACATTGCTTCTCATCCCAGCATATCCAAATTCTACCATTGTTATGTTCTGTGTAATTATCAAGATATTGGCCTTTGAGGTTAAGTTGATTCCTGATCTTTCTCACCTTGTCATACTTAACTCTAGTCTCAAGTAAAATTGCAATCTTAGGGTGAAGGTGTAAGAGACGGGAGCTTATCTCCTTTACCTTCCCTAATTTATTCAGCCCCCTCACATTCCAAGATGTAATCATTATCCAATGTTTTGAGACTCTAGAAGATCTTCCGAAATCTCAAGAGCCTCAAATCCATTATCACAAACAATCGTGGTTCCGCAATTGGGATTAACTTTCGGTTTACCTCTATCCTTACCACTTCTTATAACTTCTATCCATTTTTCCATGACTGCTTCAACCTGTTCAATTATATTTCCTTCAATACCTTGAGATGGATTTTTATCCGGGGGAGTCCCAGCTAAGCTACTTCTGTTTTCATTTATAGTCACAGCATTTTTATCAGGTTCACTAACAGTAGGGGAATTCACAACATTTTTATCAGGTTCACTAACAGTAGGGGAATTAACACTGTTACCTATAATGTTGTTGTGTTCTGCACTCCCAATGATCATAGCAGCAGAACTGGCCATCACAGGTTTACCTACAGGTTGAGGTTTAGGTTTCCATTGTTGTGTTACTTTAGGTTTGTCACATCTATGTCCAATCTTTTGACATTTACTGCAAAACTGGGGTTTCCACTCATATTCAATAGGTTGTTGAAACTTTTCGCCTTCATTGTCGCCAATTGTAATTGTATTTGGGAGTTCCTTTGTGATATCCATTTCCACTAGTATTCGCGCATAGGATACGCGAAGTCTGTTTGCCGTACACTCATCTGTCATGATGGGTTTTCCAAGAGCACTTCCTATCTTGTTTAAACTTGTATCTCCCCACAAAATGATGGGTAATTGAGGCAATTTCACCCAAATAGGAAGGGTTCGCATCAGTTCATCTTTAACCTTGAAACCTGGCCTCCATTCACGAATCAATAGAGGAATATTCCTTATCATATATGGTCCTCTCAGCAAAACTTCATCACGGTCCTTGAATGACTTGAATCGTAGTATAAAATAACCTTCATCGTTGTAATACATATCCGGCAATTGAACAAAATTCCAAGTCTTAGTCATGAAATTCTTGACCGCATTCATACTTAGGTCAACTCCCATTGTGTATAGAATCAAAGAGGATTCCCAAAATTTTACCTCAGAGATGATATCATCGTCTTCAATTACCACTTCAAGATTCCCGTTCACGACTTGGGGTGCTATGTATTTCATCGCTCTGCCCTTCGTCGGATTCCTATTGTCCTTGAGCACATCTACCCAAAGTTTTCGACCTTCCTCAGAAGCATCTTCATGACTTGGTTTAGCATTCTCAGATTGTTTGGAGATCGCAGCTGAAGTAGTGTCTTTCGGTTGAGTGGCGGTTCCAATTCCTTCATGGTTAGGGTTATCAGGGCATACTTCTAGGGTTCCTAATTCCAGATTCTCTTCTTCAATTTCACAGCTATTGCTCTCGTGTTGGTTGTGGACTTCTACTTGTTGGTTAGTACAGATGACAATGGTGGGGAAACAACTGGCGGAGGCACCGTGTTCTTCGGCGGCCGCCCTCGCCCTCGCTTCATCTCACCGTAATATTTATATTAAAATAAATATTAAATTTAAATAAATCTTTATTGACAAATATTTGTCTTATTTATAGTTTTTAAAATAAAATTCAATTGGCATTTTATAAATATCTTAATTTTATCTCGTCAAAACAATTCAACGGATAGATGTGCACGTACATCCAACTGTATTAATTTTTTTTTTAATTTTTAATTAAAAATATATAAAACTATTAATACTAATTAATTGATTAATTGCAATTAGTTGCTCGTGTTATATGTTCTAACTATTTTTTCTTAAATAACATAAAAAATTAAAATAGGATAAAAAACATAGTTAGTGTACGACAAAAATAACTTATTATGATTAACTACATAGTGACTGTTTTTTATGTATGAGTTGTATGCTTTAATGACTAACTACAAAACAAAAATATTAAAGTGTGAAAAGTATTTATAATTCATATATTATAATTATTAGTATTTAATGTGTAGGAAGAGAAAAAATATATAGTTCCCATGTATTTTTTATTAATCAACTATTTTATATATTTTTTAAGTTAAGATAAATCTGAACGGAATGTTTCCTTCAAAATAAAGTACTTGTAAACATTAGATGAAACCGAAGAAAAAATGTTGTTTGAGTAAAGAAAATTTTGGTTAAGAATTCAAATTCAAGAGGTTTATTTCTAAAGGGTTAGTGAGTGTATAAGATCATGTTGAAAGACATAGTCAATGTCTAAGTTAATATTTTAATATTATTGGTTTCGAGTGACGAAGGAGGTTAATTCTACAAAAGATCTATCAAAAACACAATTATATTTTGATTATTATTTAAATATACCAACAAAATTAATTTAAGTCATTGATTAATGTTATATTTTGATTATTTTTTAAATATTCCAACTAAATTAATTAAAGTCATTGATTAAAGACAAACATTTGTGTATCTTAAAATTTAGTCTTATAATTTCTAAATTAAAATATTATTCGTTTTTGTGTTGCAAGTTCAAACTCGCAATGTTTTTATATAATTAATTATCAATTAAGCCGATTTAATTAAATAATTTAAATAATTTTTTAAATGACAAATATTTATTTCATATATTATTTTTATAGTAAGCTCAAATTAGTATATTATAATTATTTAAATTTTTTTATTTAGAATTTATAAGAAAAGTATTAAAATTAAGTAATTGATTAATGACAAATACCTGTCTCATAAATGAGTTGTAGACCCTAGCTATTTCGTTAGTGACTCATTTTTTATTCGACGCAAAAAGATAAAAGCTGACTATGAAAGAGTGGCATCCAAGTTGATTTACGCAGAAAATGATGGGATGGACGGTGACAGAATATAGTTCTACATGAAATAGAATTGATTCACACTTGTACGACTCATTAATCCATGGTCCCATACCAATGTCAACATCCAATCACGTATAGCTATAGAGGAAACATCAATTATTGCAATAACCAAATATCAATACTTTCCTTTTTTTTAAATTTATTATAAAAAATAAATAAAATATTTTTAGTAATATGACGGTTATTATTTAAATATGGCTAGATTCTCCCAACCTAATCAATGCTCCATAATCCTCCAATGCATCAAATAAATGACAACTTTGCTTTTAATGCTCATTTGTCTTTTATGTTGCCGATTCTTAAAACCTTCTAGAACATCCACGCATTTCTTTATCATTTTCTATGCATAATTATCGCTAGAAAATTTATTCTTATCTCAATCTCCATGTGCATACCGCTATAAAACCGTATACTAGGATTACGATACACATCACCTTCCACTTTCTATATTCACTTTTTATATTCTTATCCAATTCAGTTATTCATTCACTCTCTTGTTTATATATACTTACCTTCAAAAAAAACTCTTCACTATCTTCTTTCTCGTTAAATTCTTAAAAACGGTTATGGAGTTGATTTCAGGTTTACCGGAAGACATAGCACGAGACTGTTTGATTCGAATTTCGTATCACCAGTTTCCGGCTGTAGCCTCTGTGAGCAAAGGATGGAAAACGGAGATTCAGATGCCGGAGTTTCGCCGGTTAAGGAAGAGTACGGGACATGCACAGAAAATCCTAGTTACAGTTCAGTCCAAGTTCGATTCGGAAAAAAGTAAAACCGGTTCACTCGGAAAGGGTGTTATGGCCATGACGAACCCGGTTTATCAGCTGAGTGTATTGGAAACTGAAACCGGTGTTTGGAGCGAGTTACCGTTGGGACCCGAGTTATGTAACGGGTTGCCCTTATTCTGTCAAATAGCTGGTGTTGGGTATGATTTAGTTGTTATGGGCGGGTGGGCACCCGACTCATGGAAAGCTTCAAATTCGGTTTTTATTTATAATTTTATATCAGGTAATTGGCGCCGTGGGGCCGATATGCCTGGTGGGGCCCGCACGTTTTTCTCTTGTGCGTCAGATCATGAGCGTATGATCTATGTGGCAGGAGGACACGATGAAGAGAAAAATGCATTAAAATCTGTTTTTGCTTATGACGTGGCAAGTGACACGTGGATGCCGCTTCCTGACATGGCAAAAGAACGCGACGAATGCAAGGTTGTGTTCTCTCTCGGAGCAACTGGTTTCGCGAGGGTTAGGGTTATTGGTGGGTATCATACGGAGATGCAAGGGCGGTTTGAGCGGAGTGCGGAGGAGTTCGATGTTGCCACGTGGAAGTGGGGTCCAGTGGTGGAGGATTTTTTAGCTGATGCCACGTGTCCAAGGACTTGTGTGGATGGTTGTGATGTGGAAGGGAGAATGTATATGTGTAAATATGGTGATGTGATGGTATTGGAAGGTGACACGTGGAAGAACGTGGCGAAGGTGCCAAGTGAAGTAAAAAACGTTGCGTGTTTAGGAGCTTGTGATGGAGCGTTGTTGTTGATTGGGTCAAGTGGGCTTGGGAAACCTTGTATGGGCTTTGTGTTGGGCCTGAAGAGTGGTGTTTGGACTAAATTTGAGAGCCCAGAAAACTATTCTGGACATGTTCAGTCTGGTTGCCTTTTGGAGATTTAGTTTTGTTTTGTGATATATATTAATGAAAATATGATGAACATTTTTGTTTTCTTTGGTTAGGATACTTAGCTCTAAAATTTTGAGAAATATTTCCTCTTCTATATTCTATGAGCAAGTTGTGTGTATGTGTACAGAGTTTTTCATATAGTAAAGTTTACATTATTTCTTGCCTCACTGCTGGACAAGTAAAGTGTTAGCAAAAAGGTTAAATTCCACAACACAGTATTTTCATGATGGACATAGAGTGCAAGGATGATAAAGACTGAAGATATGAATTGACATATTTAATTTGTTTCTCATAAACTAATTGTAATAAAATTTGTTACAGTAGTAATATTTAAAAGGGACTAAATTGTCCCAATACACTTTTTGTTAACTAGACTTAGGGAACCAATCTACTGTTACAATTTTTTTCTTCTTCTTCTTTCTCATTTTACTTGGATATTAGTTAAGTTAATGTAAAATATATTGTAAATTAATTAACGAAATTGTCATCATCGTGTAAATCTTAGATTTTGATTATCGTATTTATATTTATAAAGGTGTCAAATTGTTTACCTGAATCATATTAATCGAGATTTAATTTAACATTTTTTTTTTTCACAATCCCAAATTTTTTTGGATGGCTATTGTAGAGCAACTATTATAGAATAAACAAAACTCTATGCAATAATGTGTGTGGCTTTAATCAAGTTATCAATATTGTTAAATATTATTCATATCTATTCATAACAATATATTTTTACATGAATAACACAACACAATTTTATTTTAGGGGAATAACATCACTTTATATTGTTCATTTTAAAATCAACTTGAAAATAGTTTGGAATTCGATTCAATAATTAATTCGTTGAACTTAGTTCATGAAACTAATGAGTTAAATATGAGCGAAAAACTAAATTCGTTAACAAAATGATTTGAACTTAAACTATACATAATTCGACTCGTTAAGTTCATAAGTCAATTCGATTATATATGAGAAAGATTACCTTGTCTTTAAGAGTAAATTTAAAAATTTAATATAAATTTTAACCTTATATTTATTTTAATCTAACGGTGTTAATTGATAATTTATATTCTCAAAATAAACAAGTTATTTCTAAAAATAATTATACAAATAAAATTAGAATCATATAAATTAATAAAATTTTGAATTAGTATATATTTTAGACAAATTTAAATTTCAATCTAATAACTTTTTATTTTATTTTAATATTTTTTTAAAAATAATATTAATATCAAATATCAAATATAAAAAAAAAGATTTTAAATAGATGATTTTTAAGTCCGTAAAGCAAGCGAGTTGAACTTAATGAGCTGAACTTAACAAGTCAAATTGAGTTGCTCGTGAACTTATAACGAGTCGAATTTGAGCTTAAAAATTTGTATCAAACTCAAACCGAGATTTCAGCTGAACCAATTCTTAATTATTAATTAGTTTTACATTCTCCCATTTAACTCACGTAACTTATGAATACTTTAATAATAATGCGCATTAACAAATTTTAAATGTATTAGTTTTATCATTCATCATAATTAAGAATATAAACCAATAAAAACCACACACACACACACATATATATATATATATATATATATATATATATATATATATATATATATATATATATATATATATATATATATATATATATATATATATATATATATATATATATATATATATATATATATATATATATATATATATATATATATATATATATATATATTCTCCTTAGTATGATCTTAAGTTTAGAAATTATCTGATATGGATTTGAAGAAATTGGCATTAAACTTGATTATCTTGGTGAGGTAATAAGCACCAATAACTAGTTGTTCGTTAATTCTTTGGCTGGCGTCAGAGGTTGGTATATGCAAATACACAGACGCTTAAGTCAATAACTGAATGAGGAAGCAAGAAATATTTTAGTTTTTAAAGAGCGTGTACCTTCTTGGTTGTACTGTTTACTTCCCTTTTATAGGTGGATTCTCAAATTTCCATGGACCAAGAACCTTCCTGCGTAGAGCAGGTGCCCGTTTTATTCTTTATGTCATCTAACGGTTCTTACACAACCACTATATTTGATTAGGTGTATTCTTAGGACGAAACTTATTGTGTTCCCGAGGTCATCCCATATTCTCTTTGATGTGCTTTACATAATCATACCTTAATATAATCGTTCACAAGTTATGTGACGAGTCAAGACATCTTTATTACAAGCCCATAATCTCGTTGGACTGTTGTTGTCGTGAACTTTGGCCCAGGCGAGAATAGTTTCCCCAAAGATTAGTACGACGAAGTCGGGGCGTGGCTTGTGATTTTGGTCTTTAATGGTAGATGTATTAGTTTATGTTTTATTCATCATTAACTTGTCCCGTCACATTTGATCTTCAATATTCTCTCTTTCTCTTGTTAGGAAATGATAGAGTTTTTTGGGATATGTTGTCTTTGTTGTTTTTCACGTGTTTATTTATCGCGGTAAGGGCGACGCCCTTTCACTAGGCATGATATGATTGTTTTTCTAGGAAATAAAATTGTAATTATTATTTTGATGACGTCATCTCTGATGACGTGTCCATACACTACCCTTCGATTCTATTTCCTTTGGACTGTTGGATCTTATCCTTTCTGTTTCATTTCCTTGAGGAAAATGTGCATTTAAAAATTTGAACATGTTGTGTTTCTCCCTTTCTTCCATTAATTTCTCTATGTTATTTTTGTCCGTGCTTAAAGTGTTTTTTGCTTTTTTTTTTGAAGTGCTCTTGTTATCCTTTAACTTTCTCCAACCTCCTTACTTGTAAGTTCTTATTATCTATAACTTTTTATATTCCATTAGATTTGGTATCGATTAGTCTGATGAGGTAGCTTGAACCCCTGATTATATTCCATATTTTCTCTATTTTTAAGAAAGTTTTAGGATACTTGCTAATGTTTTATTGCTGATATGATAATATTTATGTCATCATTCATTTCATGGGAAGGAAAGTGGTAACTATTCAGTAAGTAGGATTACCTTCCACGAAATCTACTATTCTTTCTATGTTATTAGGTATATTGGTGCATTATATCAAATACCTTTTAGAGTTTATAATTGATGAAAAGAAAGATTCTTTGTGCTCTTTAGTAAATGATGTTTAGTTGGGCACTGCTTTTGTGTACTATGATTCAACAGAATCATAAAAATAAAGACGGTTAAAGAAGTGAGAGGTCCCTTTGGTTTCTAGATAGTCATCATCCCAACTTTCACTTATATAATTTTGTCAAGAGTTTCTTCACCCCTCATTCCCTACGTTTGATGTTATTTTTAGAAAAATCAGTTTCTTTCTTCCTTTTACTACTTTTGAGAAAGGTGTTCTTTATTATTAGGTTGTGGCCCCCTCACAAATGCTCTCTAATTATTTAGGCTTTATTAAAGATTATCAATCAATTTATCATCCTAGGATGAAAAGGGTCTCTAAGAGCTTTCTTTTGTATTTTCTTTGTTGCGTGGGAAAGTTCTACATCCTCATATGGCCTAATCCATTTCAAATAGCCTCCAAATATATTTGAAGTCTTTGAAAAAAATTAAGTTTTTCTACATTATTGTCGAGCCTCTTACTGTCGAGGCCCACTTCAATGTGTGTGATTTTGACGAAGAGGTTGGAAACACAATTTGTGAACCCATGTTCCCTCGACGCTCAAATCAAACAAATTTGGGTCAGGCAAAGCAAACCAATACTTTAGACCCCTATGAAGTGGAAAAGGAATGTCTCACATCCATCCAAGGTTTCATTGAAGGCTTCAACCATATATTTTTCTTTGATCCCAAGTCTAAAGGGAAAAAGATATGAATATGAAATCTCTGGTTTTATAATCTAGTTGAGAGGATGTCAAGGATCTATTGGGTGTGTTTGATAATATTCTTTTCATTTTTCTTTAACTTTTCTCTATGGATTATTAACTTATTTTTATTTCTGTAGATAACATAGCCATTGATGAAAAAAATTAACGCTTATAAGAATTCACAGGCCCAAGCTCTTGCCAAGGTTACCCTTGTAAAAGCTGCTCAAGATGCCCCATCAGAGAAAGAGGCAGATAGATCTTCGATAGTGGTGGTTGATATATAAATATCTCCCTCACCATATGCCTTCCTAAGTGATTTCGTTGCTCATATATCTAAGAAAAGGAAAATTCAACTCTTGAGGAATATGAAGAAGGGAAGTTTGTGTCAATTTTTACTATCCAACTTACCATTTCTCTTAATAAACTTTTAAGTTGACTCTTGATTCAAATTGTTGTTTTTTTTGCCAACATGAGACCCTTAGGTTCCGCTGTGTGGATCCTGACTATTTGTGAGTAGATTGTAGGTTTTGCTGGAAGTATCTCTAGAAAAGATTGTATAAGGTTGAATCTTGAGAAGGAAGCAGATTGAGGATGTATCTCTCTTCATATGGAAAAGGGGTTTGATTTCTTCCAAGTGTGGATGACATCTTGGCTAACCAAGCAGTTAAGAGAATTTGTATGTCTCTTTCGGGGATGTGAGCATTCCAGGTTTGGTTGGATTTATTCTCAAAGAACAAGGTTGTCTATGGCTGTAAGATTCAAGATGGATTTGTACAGTGTGTGAATGTGTTTAGGGGGAGAGTGATCAATGATGTTATTTGGTTTCAATCCAAGAGTTTATTGGTTATGGTACAAGGATTGTGATCCTGGTATTTTCTCACTTATGAGCATGAAGATGTTCGTGTGATTCATGCGAGGTTGTGACGTCATACTAGATGTCTTGACATCGTGGTGTGTTGATCCTTTAGCTTAGTAACTTCTGCTTGTGAGTTTGAATTGTTAAGGCTATTGAATTATTTCAACTATGTCCATGATTCTTAGGAGAGGCTTGAGAAATAATATTCGATATTGTCTGGGAGAATTTATTTTTCTCTGCAGATTGGGATAAGGTTCATGGGAGCTTTTGTTGATAAATGAGAGATGTCACACATAATGTCTTGACATCATGGTC